TTATGTACGATTCCGCGCATTAAAAGCATCACCCTATACAAACTCGTTAAACTATGTTTACTAACATGAATTAAGAAAAAAAAACCGCCGCCCGCGACATCTGGTACTGGCGTTATGTAATTATTTGTTTTATGAACGCGCGTCTACGTTTACATTTTTTGTCCCTTTCCATCAAAACGTTGTAAATAAACTTCTGTACTATTAACTACTCGTATACTCTAGTATTTTTAACGCTGATAACAAAGCTGTTATTGAGTTTATTTCGCAAATTTTCTATACCTAGAAAATAATATCAGGTACCGATTATTTATACGCATACTGTTTTTTCGCCGCTCGTCAGCCCAAAGAGTTTTATAAATGAATTACTAGAAGTTTGAGTACTTATATGTTTTTTTTTACTATCAGAAAAGTAATCCGTCTTCACATTTGCACCTATCCCTTAAAAACCTGAACCACCATATCTAAAGAAACTATTACGCACCAATAAATCAATACCAAAACAACGTCGTTCATTCAACCGTGACAAAAAAAAACAAAAAAAAAAACTAAAGAATTTACTCCTCTATTCTATTAATAGACAGTAAAACAATTATATGCCCCAATCCTTTCACCCTTCGAAATAAATAAATCATACCAAAAGGGATTGTTGAAAACCGATTTAGATTTAAAAAAAAGTTCCATATTAAAAAGTTGATGTATCCATATTTAAATATTGTCGAGTTTGCCCCTCGGTTTTATAATCTATGGCGCATGCCACGTGTTATGTGATGCCGAGGATTTTGACATTAGACAGAGTTCATAAAAGGTTTATTGTGTGTTGTAGGGGAAAATGTACTAGGATTGTGTTTATGTGTGTGTACTACCGACACACGATGTGCAGTCCAATAAAGATGTGTAGTAAGTGGTACATATTTTATAACCTATACTCGGACTTTTAATTCCATTCCAGATTTGACAATTTCAGTGTTGCAACGTTATGACACGTATTAAATAGTGACGTTGCGAAATTATTCGATGTGGAAATCGAATATTTCTGAATCGATTCCTCTCGTTTATAAATTTAATCTCGTAAACTAAGTTTATCAGGAAATAAAATATCTCTGATCCATTTAGATAATTTAGTTTTGACAATTAATTAACGATCTGAGACTTTTCTTTTATAATTGTGTTATACTTATATTTTAGATAGTAAGTGTTTCAATATGCATGCTGGATTCACATCTAGTAGATGTCAATCAGAAAAATGTTTATATTCATGTTTTCTTATTTGCATTTAAGATTGTACATCAGTTTTGTGAAAAAAAAAAAAAAAAAAAAAAATTGTGTGTGAAATAAATAAAAAATGTGATCATGAAGGAACATGACAAATAAAACAGAAATTTTATAAATTGTCGCCGTCATCGCTATCGCTATCGCTGTTACTTTCTGTAACATTTATTATAAATTGTGTCTGTGATTTTTAATGTCAATTAACATATCTAGCTTACTCATTTTTTCCCCTATTTTGACAACATGGGATACGCATTTAGACCATTCGGTAGCCGTAATTTTTTGAATGCCTTCCTGAAACTGATTTACTGATTGTTTATCGATTTTTGTGTTCATCACTACACTGTTATATGTGGTATCATTATTTCACAAAATGACAATAGGTCATGTCAAATCAGGAATCGAATTAAAATTCTGACTATAGCTATAGGGAAGCAAGAAAACCCAAAGAATGCTAAAGCTTGGTACCTTAATGACTGGGCCAATCATATTTCGATCTCTGTCTATCTGTAGTAAGAGACTTCTAAATAAGGAAATATGGATTAAACAAAGTTATTTTTGTATTTTAATATACACTTACTTATACTTAGTTGAAAAAAATAAACACTGAAAAATAGCATGAGACATGTAAAACTGTGCATTTAATTGTATGATGAAAATAACATTTCCTCAAACCGCAATCAAATTTCAATTTCGAAAAGCATAGTCAAAATAACTACATTCTTGCTCTGTTTAATATCATAAACTGTAGACGTTCCAATTTTTGTTTAGTCTTTTGTAAACCTGACCTACTCTCAACTGTTCGTGGAAATAAAAATGGATTGCAACATAATACCTCCGTGGTTCATCTTTAAGATAATAATTTGAAAAAAGAACGTTTTCTTTTCTAAGTATGAAGTCTATTCGTTGGCGCTTTTATTTGATATACCTAATACTGCCACAACACAAACGTATAACTTTTAAAATAAGAACCTAGAAAAAAAAACTAAAAATGTAATGTCGAATGTAAGAATAGTAGCGTTGTAAAGATTTTTAATTTTGAATGAAAAAAGAAATTACAAGCGTTTGGCATACGCCATTAAAAATAAACAAGGTCTAGGTCTAGGCTCTCTCCTGTTACATAGGAGACACATATCAAAAGAACCATAGTGTACCTACCACCACAGGTGGGACTTACCAGGGCCGATGTTCAGCCAGGGTTGGTTGGAAAGCGCAATGTGTACTGCAGACCTAATTTTAAAGTGCAAGCCAATAAATGTAATTCACGATTTCAAGGCGTGAAAAAGTAATTTACGGCTGATTCTTCAAAGGTTAGATAAAAGTTATGCGCGGAATAATTATAATGCTGCCGCGTCAGAATGTTTTTATAAGACAGTGACAGCAACAATTTTAATTGTCAGATAACATTTATCTGATTATTCAAAATCAGCCCTTAAACACATATAAAATACGCCAGATTATATTATATTTACTAAGCGATTCAACTATAACCTAATTTTTAATGCATTAGTACCATTATACATAATATGAAAGCGTACGTTCATAAAAAATATAAGTAATTAACACAAAATAAAAACTTCAACCCCCTTTTAAAGAAAGCGATGCATCCAGTGAATCAAATGTGAGTTATTTTATGTGTTTGTTTATTTTAATGTTTAAATTTATACCGTGCCAACGACCCGTGCTGCACTGTAAGGAGTTATAATTATAGGTAGCAACATTATAATATGTTATACTGTATGATGCTCTGGTTTCATGGGTGCAAGAGTAACTGACGTTAGAGTAGATATATTAGTTACCATATCAGTAACTTTTCGCCTTTTCGTCGGTGTCAAAAAAGTTTACTAAGTCTAAGAGAAAATTGCTTTATTGTTTCAACCTTTACCGGACGTCAGTGATAAACTTCGGACTCGGGCAGTGTAGATGGGAGTTTTTATCAAAGATCGCCATCTTTATCAGTTTTTTCCATCCGTACAAGAGCAGCTGGAGACGATGTTTGGAAGTAAATCATAGAGTAGCCCTGTTTTTCACGGGCCATGGCAACTTTAGGAGCAAATTATTTTCATTTAAACTAGATGATTTTTTTTGTGAGGGGAAAATCATCAAATGACTTCTCCCGCCCAGGGCCGGGCTGGAGGGGGTGTCAGACTGTTACTGACTAAAAACCCCCTGTTACTTCTCCCTATGGTGACAATGTTCGACAGCGGAACTGCAATACGAGCAGTCCGCCCATCATATTCTGGGAGTGTAGTCTCTGGCAATACGAACTTCACACTATGTCAGATAATTTACATGTTTCATCGGGTGTAGTTTATCGTATGGACCCTATATCCATCAAACTGTGTACTTTAAAACAGGAAACATCAAATATTTTTATTTCGAAACACCTTTCCAAAAAAAGTTGGTGGACTCATTTTTAATGTCACACAAAACTATGTGAAAGCAATTTAAAACTAAACTGAGAGCAAATATAATATCCAACGTGTTCCCTTTGGGGAAAGTTAATCGCCATGTTATAGCATGTTTTCGTCCCCGAAACTCAAAACATGTCAAAATACGTTGTATCATGTCCCAAACGAGCATTACCCTCAATCGGATCCATTGACAACGCAATATTTCAACTTCTTAATTAATTCCCTGTGACCTCGTAAATTTTGCGTTAAATATCTTGTTTTTTGACTCATCCTCATCTTACACTGATGTAGAAAATGTTCAGAAACGTCCAGAAAATTTTTCTTAAGGTTATTTCGTTAATTTATCGCTTCTTAAACGATATCCGCCATCTTGATTTGGCTTATGAACGATAGAAATGTCTATTGTAGACTTACGTTGATTGATTGATTGATTCGAATTCTTTTTTTGAATATGTTTGTTTTTTAGTAATGACTCATTTATTGCCGACCTGTTTATTTTTGGCTCGATGTTTGATATTTGAAAGAATTTGTAAGTTGTGTAATAATTTAGTAAGATATTACATATTTTTTATAACTAAGCAAAAATTTATATCAAAATATTTTCTTTCATTCGTTCATTCATTCGAGATTCAAAACATTATAAGTATTTATATTTACGATTTTAACAGAAAGTACTATAGTTGAATCGATAGGATTTTAGTAGAGACAGACTGGCACCACTATACTAGACAACTCGAGAGTATCACTAAGAACGTACTCCACAATTAACCACACATAACTCAATATATCTTAAGTTACATTAACTTCAAGTATTTCTGAATATACTGCACTTAAACGATCTTAAACTTACTGACATTTATTGCACACACCCTGTATTTTCGAGGTTAGAGCCTCGCTACCAATGCTGTGCGCCTGCGCATTATTGCCGATGAATGTTAGGAACACTATTTTTAGGTCTTACAGATGTTCCATTCAGCATGCTTTTAGTCTGATCGTGAAACTAATATGGCTAGGTTTCGTCTGGGAGTTCTGAGGTTGATCTAACTCATCTAAAATCTGTATTTTTATGAGTTTCATTGGATATAATATTTACAATGTTATTAAGGAGTAATTAGCATATTTTTATGATAAAATGCTTGATTGTGTAGTAACTTATAGAAAGAAATGAATGAATGCATTTGTTTTTGCATAAACACCATATTTAGACTTAAAAACAAACAGTTTCGGCGTCTCTCAAATAAAAAAGTCTTTATTAGATATTAACTTTATAATGTATCCCAGTTTATTTTTATTAATTTTCCTCTTCCTTTGTTCCAGAAACTAATGGATCCCAATAAGAGCAGTTGAGTTTGTCGGTGAAACATGAGTCTCGCCGCCATTGCGTTTTGGCGCGAAATGCCAATCGCGGTCATCTTCCTACTGGCAACGGTGTGTCTCGCTACAGCCAGAGATATTGTATTGGGTAAGTTACTTTTTGTTTATATTCTGTGCAGTGTAGCCCCTAATCAAATGAGATTTAAACTTCGAACGAATTAAATGAAAAATTGTTTGGAATGAACTGACATCGGCTTATGTCAAAAATTATTGAAGCTTATAAATAAGGTTAAGTTGTATTCACTTCAATAATATTTAAATGTTTTTGGCTAAAACACGGTATATTTACAATGTATGTACATTTAAATTGATGCAATTATCATCGTTGCATCAAAACATCGTTGAAGAACGAAAGAAATTTAAAAAAGAAAGGAATACAATTTCCTAGAATTAAACGCAAGGTACTCCTTGTCCATCTTTACCTAGAAAAAATGTCATAGGTAATAACAATTATATAGTTTTTATTCAACAAGCTGTTGAATTTTAACGAGCAATGTAGGACTATTGTCTTCAGGGTCTTATAAAACTGTATAATAATGAAGGATTAGTTAGAAACGTTGGTAAAGGATGTATAAGTACGTCTGACTTCCTCCATATCTCTTCAGATATTAAAATTCAAACTTTTTCATCGTTTAAAACCTCAATTGCCAAAATAATCGTGGGAAGTACAAATAGTTATCATTGAAACATATATAAGATAAGTTAAAACACCAACAATAGGACCAGAAAAACATGCGATGAATGCATATAGACTTCTTAAAGCTAAAACCAAAATTTCGTATTCAAAATCCATCCTTATTAACAAAAATTTGGGATGGGATACAAAGAATTTAAAATTCTAATCGATTCGCTTTACGAATACGAATTGCTTTACCGAAATCAATTGTAAAGGCCTATATGAACGTTATTTTTGGCAATCGGAAATGATTTCTTTTGTTCGATTATTATTCAAAGTGGGTTTAGGCGCCATGTTGAGAATTATATTGTTAAACTTATTGCTTCGTTTGATAGGCATCGAGTACGTTAGCTGTGCCAACGATATTTGAATTTCATTTTATATTTGATATTTGTTTGGCAAGAAAGTTTTTGTGACCGTTCTTTATTGTACTTTCATCATTACACAAACTGTAAAAGGATGTTGATGTTCATGGTTTAGGAAAACACAAGACTCGCGTCTATTTTATATACAGTGATTATTTTAACTTTATTAACTATTTGTATACATATATGTTTTGTTGTATTCTTTCTAATTTCTCGTTCCTTGTGTGTTTCTGGTACATACATACATAGTTTGTGTCATCTTCATATCACAAATTAACACAACGGAAAAGGTTATTACTTCACGGTCACAAATCGATTGTTCCCTCCCCAACCCTCTCATTTGGTTCTCATTAAAAGCACCGGATGCCTAATTACTTTAATAACCAGTTAATTTAGAGCCCTTTGCTCTCTTTTCGTATCTTCATGATCGTGTCTCGTTGGACTCTCGTCCGTTTGGTCGGAGGTTGACTTAAGCTGGTCGTTCTGATCTATTTAATGTAACGTCCTGTGTAGTTATGGTCTCCTGGCACATCAATTTGATTGAGGGATGATAATTTGTTTAATTTGTTGTGATTTTTAGGGTCTTGAGAGGATGTTATGGATTATTTTTATGAGCGTAGATTAGGTCTTTATTAGATCTGTCTGCAACTAGTTTAGTTGTAGATTTTAATTATTTTTATTTCTCTTTCACGTGGTCACATCCCGTGTTACATTCCAAATTTAATGTCTGTTAAAGTATAAATATGAGATTTTTACTTACATAAAAAACTTTAGGCACTTTTACCTACAATTTAGTGAAATCATTTGCTCATTATTAAATCATCTCTGATTTCATAAGAAAATATCTTAAATGAGGAACTTATGTTTCTTTTTTCTTAAATTTCAACATTTACACTAACTACATCAGAGCTTATCTGCGATTTCACGTGCTAAAGCTCTTGCGGGTTTTTACAATTCGACCCTCTGTCCTGCCATCACTATTTATCTCATCTCAAACACACAGGTATCTATATCTACCTTTATTTTTTACTCTACATCAAACATTTCACCACCACTATCGTAATTCAAATAGATTTGTGTACATAGATGATATTCCGCGAATATTTTTTCTAGCGTTGCCCTAAATAAATATTTTGAGTTTTTATCTCGATCAATCATAATAATATTTGTTTTAAGATACATTTAAAGCTTTTTATCCAATACACTTATCGTCAGACGTTACCTTGAGTGTCGCTTTTTATCGACATAGAATGTTATTCAGAAATGATTGCATCCTCTTTATAATTTATTTGTTTTTTTTTGCAATTCTCGAATCAAAATTTTATTTCAAAATATGTAAATGTGAAAATTTAAAATCATTCCATGTTCCCTTGAGAAGAATTTACAAGGATCTTTGTATTCTTTGAAGATGAAAAAAATCCTTTGATCCTGCGTAAATGGCACTATGGCAAATCGATATGATTTCGAATTGCATACAAATTACGTGAGCGAGCTACGGATGTCGGCGCCTTTTGCGACAGTGCTGCCAACACGATAAACGACAACAGCGTCTACGCATCCTCTCGCACTCATAGGGTTGATGAACGAGTAGAATTTCCTTTTCCACAATATCTAAAATTTTCAAGGAATCATGATAATAAATTTTGCTTCTAATTTAATTGTGCCTTGACTGTGTACATATAGTTTATTTTTTATGTATACAAACACAACCATGTTGTTTTGCCATTTCTGGTGAACATCAATGTAATAAATTTTCTCAGAATTTGATTATTCAAGCTTTTCCTCGTCATTAAAGTTTTAGTTATTTAAATGTTTTGTGTCATCCTCTACGAACCTTTTACCAATTACCATAATGTCTCTTTCGAATTTAAAACAAATGGCATTGTGTAGGGTTTTGATTGTTATCTCTTTTCCTTTACACCGGCAAGTTGGTACTTATGCAATACGCAAACTAAGTCTCATTATTTTCCAGTACAAAACTTTTCCGCCCTACCAGCCCTTGTATGGTCATCGAACGCCCTTTGAATTTCTATTGCGTTGGGAAAATCGTGATGAGACGCCATCTTGTCGTGACGTCCTTACCCAACCTTGGAGACGGTAGCCCCGACAATTTGTATTCAGCAAATGTTATGACAACCAAGAAAGCACTCTGCGTGTACATTTCCACTTATTTTGCGTTTCATAATAATTTTATTTATTAATCTTGGCATGGATGTCGACTTTACTTTTAGTCACGTGACGAAAATGGTCGATTTCAGTTGTAGATAGATTAATATTAAAGATATTGGATTATGTTGCCCATGATGTTGAATAGTCAAATATAAAAAAAAAAACTAATAAATAGTAATGCATTGCTTTCGTATAACTATGTTACGGTATGTAATTATATCCCTAGGGATATAACTATGTATATTGCTGCTTTATCTTTCCTACTGCGACATCTCCAAGATTAAGCTCCATTCCCCTAAATAAATTTTAAAGTCATTTCTCTCTACCTCACAAAACATTGTCCTCATTAATTTGGGAGAGAAATGCCAAAGTATTAATCAGTGGAGGTAATTTTCGTCATATATATGTCAATAAACAGATCACAGACGTTAATGTCCAATTTTTAAAGCTTGCATCTCTAACAGACAATTTCTCGACCACAGTTGATACTTTCCAAGAAACATGAGCAATTTAATGGGACATAATAGACGTGACATGCACTAAAATCCTTCTTTATCCAACAGAAAATAAAACTTAAAACTAAGAGACTAACGTTATATAGTTCCGAAGTGGAGATGATGCTTAAAATGTCGTAAAAAAGTTTATGTTTCCAATGAAAAATAAATAGTTTTTCACTGTGTTCCATTTGGATGGTCCACAATAAAAGTTTTAACAACAGCAAGAAAATAGACTACTGGAACATATTGCGTAATAAATTATCTATCTGAAATGTACATATGTGTGTGGGTGAGCCATGCTTCGGCACGAATGGGTCGGCTCGACCGGAGTGATACCACGGCCTCACAGAAAACCGGTGAGAAACAACCACAGCGTTGTGTTTCGCCGTGTGAGTGAGGTTACCAGAGGCCCAATCCTTCCCCTCCCCCAAACTCTCTTCAATCCCTAAATCTCCAAATTCCTAATCCCTAAACGGTCGGCAACGCACTCGTTACTCCTTCGTTGCGGGTGTCCATGGGCGGCGCTGATTGCTTATCATCAGGTAATCCGTCTGGTTGTTTGCCGACTTATTACATAAAAAAAAATTTATGTAAATAATTCGTTACTAAAAAGTAAATTTTTGTGTTCACCTAGTCAATCTGTGATTCTTGCTCTACTGATGACTTTGATTAGTTCAACCTTGCTACTTGTTTAGCCCGCACTGAATTACTAAACAGGTCTTAAATGTTAAATTCGTTTGTTACCTATGCGAACTAAAAATAAGTGTTTTGTGGTGTAGTATGCGTTTCACGTGGTTTTTTTTTTGTTTGCATAAATATCATCCGCGCACTTCTATTGAAGATCTGTTTTAATATTCTCGTTTGTCGGTTACTCATGCATCTTTGGGACAGATTATCACTAACTTTATCCATTAAAAAATTCAAATTTCAGTTCTTGAGACTGGCTTTACTAATGGCTTTAAAAGACCTCTGCATTTCTACCATGGGTTCGTAAATAATGGCAATTATTCAACTTGATATACTCTCGCCAAATAAGTGAAACATTAGCGGCGTCTGTCTCCGGGAAATTTGTCAGGAACGCACATAATCTCACGAATAACTCCAAACCCATAAATAACAGTTATTTTCTCTCCAAATGAGAGTGAATTAATTGGTGTTTTGCAGGAAAATTGGCTCTTTGATGTATACTCTAAAGATTGTAATCAGACAAGTTATCAAGAATTATAGTTACGTTGCTTTAATCCTGTTTAAATTTATTGCGTCATCCTTCATTTTCTTATAATCAATAATTGTAGTTTTCGCATAAATTTCTTGAGAGTTTATTGATTTTGTATTCAATTTTATCTTGTGTAGCTTTAAAACATTTTTCAATGTAACGCTA